GGCGCCGAGTTTGGACGGCGACGGGGGGATGAGCGGTTCGAAGCGACCGCTGGAGGATCCTGGTGCTGTTGTAGTTGCGTGTGACCAAGTTGGGCGGCTGTTGCGGGAGGAGGAGTAGAAGCGTTGTGGTACTCGGTTTTGTATTGTCGTCGCAGAGGCGCTTCTTAATCGGCTAACGTACGTACGTGTGCGTATAAGGGATCTCGTTGCGGCTGTCGTAGATAAGATCGCTGCCCCGGCCACTGAAGGGGTTGGACAGTGGCTGGCTGCTATTATGCTTTGGCGCAACATCGTGTCGTCGTGTTGTCCCTCGCGGGATTGTGAAAAGGTTGGAGGACGATGCGTTAATACATGCCACTTTGCTGTTGACGTTCTTCCAAAACACGATTGGGGGTTTGTGATCTGCTCGGAAACGTCCTTGAAGGCGGAATACAAGTAGAGAATCCTGCGCGTCGGTAAATAAGTTGTTGACGAAGACAGCTGCTGGTATGTAAGCCGGAAGTTGGAACAAATCGCCGAGTTGAGTGTTCCAACTGACTCTTACCAGGATCGGAGTTCGATTACGTAGTGCGCCCCAGGCTTTGGAGCCGGCGCGGGGCGCTAAGGCGGCTGAGCGGGACCCGGACAGGTGGCCTCGGTCCACTAAAACCCCGGGATCGGCCGGAGCCTATCCGATTAGCCCGACTTCAGTGATCCCGCTGCTCGGGTCCCAGTTCCAACATCGAGGCCGATGAGGGCCCATACTTGCTTGATTGCGAATAAAAGAGGAAGAGAAAGAGCATGAAAGCAAAGTAGAGACAAAACAACCAGTTGATTGCTGAGGCACTCATGCTGGCAAGTCCCAACAATCCAGCACACCCGAGTACTGCATCGTTGCGTGGTTTGTCAACGTATTTACAGCCAGTTACCGACTTACCGTCGTTTAAGGAGTTAGCTATAAGTAATTGCTGAACATGGCAGACACACTCTCTCATGCCTAACGGGCAAAGGAACCATCCCGTATGTTTCGATATTCTGCAGGATCAACCAGTTCTACCGATATAACTATGTATCTTGAAGGCTATCGACCCTCTGAGTGTAGATAAACAAATACCCAACTCAACATAGGAAGACAAACCTCACGTATCACAGTCTGGAAATTTTGTTCACTTTCTGAAGTATTTTTGCATATGCGACATCATCCGTTGCCTGGAACATCAAAGCTGAAAACAACGTGGGAGAAGAGTGGTTCCTCAAGGCACGCCATTAACACGATACCCTTAATCTGTGTACATGACAACCCAGGACTTAGGTAGAGCACTAACGGCAAAAACATCCAACACTGGGGTCCCCTCCCGGCATCCGACACGCTGTTGATCCAGGGGAAGAATTATGGAGTACCTTTGCGCATTTGAACGGTCTCATCTAAATCTCAAACGAACATGGAGACTTTATTCGCATGAAACTGTACACATGATCGTCAGAGAATCTGAGGGACAGCCTAGAAGGGGCAGTGTGAATTCTGTCCTGGCGAGCGTGGGTATTGGAACAACAGAACGGACCTGATCGACACCATAAATCAAAAGCTTAACAACCACAATCTAGGTACCTAACTGTGGGTGTGAGGTTACTCCATGGTTTTCACTCTTTCAAAGTTCATGACCACCACAGAGTCAGTTTACATCCTTAGGCTTGGCGCTAAAATGTGTCACCATTTCTTAAGGCAGATAGTGCAACTCTGATGATCAAAATTTCTCAATCAACTAGACAGCTAGATAGAACGTCATATAGCCATCGTGATGCGAGACAAACCACGGAATTTGGTGGACGTTTGATCGTGTTCTCGAAGTTCAAACTTGATGGTGGTTGTTGGCGGTGGTGTCAGCAATTGAATGGTGGAGGTACATCGGACCAGGATTTTGGGACGGAAAGTCGGACGGGACGAAAGTTCGGATCTGTTTAGGCCTATATAGGCTTCGCAGTTGTTCCCGCGTTGCTTTCAAAAACTGAAGAGTTCATCCGTTCAAGTCTCCAGCACAAATCCAGCGGAATATTTAGCGGAGCATGTGGAGGAGATGAACATTTGGCGAAATATCTATCCCAAGCGGTTTCCCAGCGTTGTTGTTTTACTCGTTCTTTGTTTTCGTTGGTTTCTTTCCCCCCGCCTTTATGAAAGCGACTTCTGCTTTTCTTCAACATGGTAGATACAGCGACGGGAGCATGTGTCGGCGGGTAGTTGTGACTTACGAGCCGGTCAATGTTGCATCTTCATCTTCGCTGTCTGAGTCTTCATATCTTCATTCAGGGGCAGTTGCATCCTGCCGTGTACTATAACATCATCGACAGCTGTATAGGTAGAGAGGGAAGTGATGCTGAGGCGCATTGTTGGAAAACTATGTAGTATTCAATATCTCCCAGCATTTTATCCAGCGGGCGCGGTATGCCAGTCAGCGGAGAGAGACGGCAGGTCGGGGTGGATATATTGAGACTCCTATAGGCGACCCTACAGGTGAAATGTCCGGAAAGGGGCACCGGTGGCCCAGTGGGTGGTGATCTATAATGTCGGTAGCGGATAACACGTTGCGCAAACGTTGGATCTCACCGTGTTTGTGGCACCTTGAATCTCATCGCAATTTGCCTCGAGCTAATGAGCGTCACGACACACTTTCAGAAGTTTGTGTTCAGTGTGTACGAAGAATGTTGACGCTTTTCAGTTCATATCGGCGTTTAGTTCGCAGCGCATAGAACGTATAATGGATGAGGTGACTCGCGCCGATTAAGCAACAGTCCTGTTTGGAAAGGCTTCAGTCAGCATCCTATGACAGCCGTGTTTAACAGTGCATCCGGGCTGCCGTCGTGCCGGTTACCTACTTTACGTGACAGCTGCTAACGACAAGTTTCTCAATGGTTCATTTGATGGAGAGGAGGGAAAAGAAGAGCCCAGGACCAAGAAGAGACCGCTGTGTATGGATGGACCCTGGTAAGCACTTGGACTTGGTCCATGCTGAAATGAGAAGAGGCAGTCATATCCGCGCCGCGTCCCCCTTTCCCAACCTGCTGGATCAAGGAAACAGGACCGACAGAGATGTTAACTGTCAGAACGAACTGTTATTGGTTCCCCTGTGAGAAGATATTCTTTCTATTGTGAGACGAAGAACGGGAATAAAGAAAGGTTAAGTCGGCGCCTTTTCCGTGACAGAGACGTCCATAGCCTTTGATAGGGCGAAACAACTGGAGTTCGAAGACGAGCGGCTCGATTTAAAGCTTTTGGAATTCGAATAGATGCAGGACGGGAGTCGGTAAGGCGTTCCGTGTTTTCTAAAAGAGCATTGAGGCTCACGGAGTCAAACCCCGACTGGCGCTGGTGCAGACCGTGGGGTGTCTCAGTCTCTGGTTCGACGACATGGAATGGCTGGCCTCTTTTGGCCTCATAGTTCTTGACTGACGGCCACTTGACGGCATTCCATGATCTAACTTGCAACGCCATCTCTAAACCGGATGACGTTGACCATGTTTTAGGGTTAGTAGACGTAGGCGGTGCTCTCCACCACAATAATCGATTCCCAAAACCGCAGGTGGAGGTTGGAAAGCATCCGGTTCACGATAGGCTCCCCCAGATTGGGAGTGGATGCATGTTCCCGGGCTTGCGAGTCCACTTCCAGGATCCGATAAGCAGACTGCAGCACCCGCGCAGTTCTGAGTAGAGGGCAGGGCACATGGAAGATTGCGGGAGGAGGCAAAACGAGGGTGAGTACGAGAACGCGAAGAAATCATCCAGGTGTAGGCAAACATGTGGCAGAGATGCTGTTTTCTTTATCCATTTCCCTGTGACGGATTGCTTTGCTGAAAAAGCATTCAGGAACCAACCTCCAAAAGTGGAAGCGAAGTCAGCACAGCACAGGCCAGGGCCGTCCCTTGCACTTTTCGCGTGGGCAGGTCTAGCAGGCCCGGCTCGCCTTAGCGTGGACCCACCCAATTGAGCCCCGAGAACGGTGGTGGAACCCTTCCAGGGCAGTGCTCCACTGTTGCATGGTTGCTACCCCCAGTGCAACCCCCCTCCTATCAATCAAGCCTCCAATCAACTTCCACGCCATGCTCAACCCGTGCCGTCCCCCGTCGTCGTTCCCAATGCTCCTCGCCTTTTCCAAACCTTTTTGCCCAGCGTCTGGAATGGAAGCAACCGCCAGGCGCCCAGTGCCAGTGTTCGTGCCCTCTGGTGTCCCCGTTGTGCCTGTGCCTGTGCCTGTGCCTGTGCCTGTGCTATCCCACTCTGTAATCTTGGCGCTTGTACCTTCCAGCTAAGGTATCCATCTCATCTCTCGAAACAGGAGGGCACGAAGCCCGATCTCCTCCAAGACTTCCACTTCGCCTAGACTCAATGTCCTTTCCTCGTCTCAAGCCCTTGGAATTGTCAATTGACCCGGGTCGACACCAAGAAACCTAACATCAACGACCGACGTGAACGGCCCGAGACGACGAGAACGACGGCGTCGACAGAATAGCGTGAATACAGGAATTAATAATAGGGCCGCCGATGCAATCGAGAGTCGACAGGGACTGCCCGTTGAGTGACGCCCGTCCAATAAGAAAAGATACCTCCTGAGGATTTGTCCGTCGTCTGCGGCGATCCTGTGGTGCCTCATTTCCACGCTTTTACACGACACAAAGCCGCGACCACAATAACATCTAATCAATACCATCGCAACACCACCGTCTTCTCACAATCTGTCTTTTTTTCTTCAGGCTTGGTCTTAGGCTCGTACACTCGTTTTTATCGGCTCTATCAGCAACACGCATGTTCCCAGCAAGCGTATCTGACTTACGACTACTTTCGGGGCTTCTCTCCTTTCAACTCCACCCCCAAATCCTGTCCGTCGACAAAAGCTCCAATTGGCAACGCAAAGGCGCCAATCCACCACCTCCCTCTTCGCCGCGTCCTGAGGACGTTGGCAGACTTTCGTCGACGACACTCTCTTGGTTCTCGCATATTCCGATATATATAAGCCCAAACAATCGTCACCATGTTGCGGCCCGCGACGCCCCTCGCGGTGCTGCTCTTTGCGGCATTCGGGCTCCTCGTGTTGGCCACCATATCCACGCCAATCATCAAGCAAATCCCATTGAGTAGCTTCAACATCAAAGGCTTCGGCGATCTGAGCTTTGGTGTTTTTGGTTACTGCACCTCAAACGGCTGTAGTCCTATAGAAATCGGCTACGATACTTGTGAGTTGTTCCCCGGGTAGTGTCTCGCTCCATGTCACACTTCAATGTTTTGTAGCAAGTACTGATTCGTACAGCCGCCTTCGTTCAACAAATCAATGAGGACTACGACCTCCCCATGGGAACCCGTTCTACACTTTCAAGTATCTTGATTGTGCACCCAGTCGCTGCCTTGATCACCCTAATCAACTTCGTCCTTGCTATTGTGGCCCATTTTCACTCGCCCTCTCACTCAGCCCGGTACCTCCTGATCCTATTCATTGTCAGCATCGTTGACTTTATTGTCTGCCTGTTGGCCTTCCTCGTCGATGTGTTGCTCTTCATTCCACACTTGTCATGGGGCTCTTACATTGTCGTCGCCGCTACCATCCTTGTAGCGTTTTGCGGCCTGGTAACATGCGCCATGCGCAGAACACTTGTCAACAGAAAGGCGAACAGGAAGCGCATTGCAGAAAATGCCGAGATGAGCGGAGAAAATTACTATAACCGGCAGGCGCAAACTGCCCCCGTCACACAAGTCACCGGCCCACAACCAACCGTACCCATGATCAGTGGCGCGAACGTCGGAGGCGACAAGCTGCCCGAATTCACTACTTTTGAGAAGAAGGACGATCGCAGCGAGGAGAGAATCCCACTTACGTCGGTTAGCCCCATCGATCGGTCACCAGCGACATTAGTCAACGATAGCACGCCACCCAGTCTTATGGATGGTGCGCCCTCTCGATCACCGTCTAGTACGCCTGTTGGCCGAGATCAGTACGGAAACCCACTACCGCCTCAAGATGGATATGCCATGAGGCCCGTACCTCAAAACGAGCGCATGAACTCACGGGGTAGGGGTGGCATGCCTCCCGGAGGCTACCGTGGACGTGGTGGCTTTGCCGGACCTGGGAGGGGAGGTGGACCTCCGCCAAATGGACGAGGAGGCTATGGCCTACCAGGGCGAGGAAGAGGAGGCTATGGTCCACCGCCCCGTGGATTCGGAGGCCCAGGACCACGGGGTGGCCGAGGCCCACCGCCTCAAGGATATCAAGGGGGGCCGGATCGGAGACCATCTCCCGGTGCCCCTTATGGACCTGGCCCTGGTGCTAGCGCCTATGGTCCGTCTGCGCCGGGATACGGAAACAATGAACAGCCAGAAGCTCAGTATTCGGCATACAATCCGAGAAGGGCATCGCTCCCAAGAGCTGAGTCTCCTCCCCCGCTCCCTGGCGTCGATGACGGTATGCCCGGTCCTGCGGTAGAGCTGGATGCTTCTCCCACGGGTCCCGGCGTTGGACAGTACGGAATCAGGGACAGTGACTCGGATGTTGCTGGAATGTTAGCTATGCAGCAGGGAAGAGTTCCAGGCTCGGATCGTGGCAATAACGCGAATGGCTATAGCCAAGAAGGGTAAGCGACGCTTGAGAAAAACCAAGAGTGAGGATCATTGCTGACTGATTAGACCCAGCGATGTTTACGTGCCACCCAGGCAAGCGTGGAACCAAGGACCTGGGAGAAACTCCCCGGGACTAGCGCCACCTGCGGCCCGCGGTGCAGCCCGTCCGATTTCTGAAGCCGTCACAGCTTCAGTGGCCAGCGATTATTACGAAGACGTCGACCCGCGCTTTGCTGAACCTTCAGCTGCCGCAAAGCCATCACCCGTTTCCATGCAGAAGCAACCCCCGGGAATCAACTCCCACGACGATGTTCCCAACCGAGCTAGAAGCCCGGCTGAGTCCGAGCGTTCTAACTTCACCTCGATCTCCCAGCGGGGCATCAATCCGCGTTGGAACCCTGCCAATGCCGGGCCGATGCCCCCTGCCGTAGCGGGCGGTTATGGAGGAGGAGGAGGAGGAGGAGGAGGAGGAGGAGGACGTGGTTCCTCGTCGGCCGGTTAATCGCCCCGCCCCTGGTCTCGCTGATGGCTCAGATCTCCTTCTCAACTCAAACCCGGACTTCCAACTACCCGGGCGCGGTGGCAACATCCCTAGAGCAGCCGGCCCTCGGTAATGAACAACAATAATAACCGACATGAGTTATAAAGCAATAATTATGACTGTTGGGATGGGAGACTTAGTTGGCTTTGGTTGGCTTGAGCACATGTTACTGGATGGATATGACTTGCGAAAGTTCTTTGACATTTTCCCAATGGCTATGGCCTTTTTTTATTGATTGAATGAGAGCGGTACATATTGGTATGCTTTGCGGATGGTAGGTCAGGCAGACAGGTAGACAGGTAGGCAGGTAGGCAGGCAGGCAGGTAGCACATAGCAGGAGAAGAAGTATGGAGAGGGAGGGAGACATGTAATGCTTTGCCATCCTGCTGCCCGTTCGTCGATTCTGTTTCTTGTCTCTCTTTTTTTCCTTTTCTTCTTCTTCTCGCACCGGATGATTAGGTTGGTTTTTTTCATTTTTTTTTCACAGGAAAGAGAGGCAAAAAAACAGAGCCTGTGATTCACAAACAGGACCCCGATGTACCTGATTGATTGATTGATTGATTGATTGATTGATTGATTGATTGATTGATTGATTGATTGATTGATTGATTGATTGATTGATTGATTGATTGATTGATATATACCAGACTACCTACTACCTACCTACCTAACTAACTACGCCTGTGTCACATATCAACGAGCCACATATCTCCTACTCTACGCCTTCTCTTTTTTCATGATGGGGGATACTTTCTCTTTTTCATTTTTATAGTCTTCATGCCAAGCAAAAAGGTTAATTGATGCCAGGAAAGAAGATGGAGGGAGCCTTGAACAACGATGAGTGAGGTTCATCATCAGTCATCTAAGGCGGTCAGGGTTGCGCCGCCATACCATGAGTCTGGAAGGAAGGATAAACAGGGGAAGAGATTGATCGATAGTGACGACGAGAGATCGTAACCCGACTGGCATGTTCGGATAGCTTAATTAAATACTCTTCTTTTCGCCGATTGTATCACTCGCTGACTTCACCTCGGTGGTTGCCTGGATCTTTGTATATTGATTGACGCTAAAATGACATTCTAAAAGAAGCCGTGATTTCAATGACAGACAGGCGACATTCATCGTTGACACTAGCCAAGAAGCGAGTAACCACAGCCTCGAAAGACATACAAGAAACACGAGTGAAACGGAACAGTAGCTGCAGTCGAGATACTTGTTTTTTTATTAATGATATTATAAAGACAACCGATGATTAAGTGTTGGCAGTCATGATGCTGCCAAACATCTTCAGTCATTGCTGTAACTTGATCCGAAAGATCTAAGACTAGGACATAACAGGGAAGGCACAAGAATAGCATACTCAAGGTCGCACAATTTCGAAGAGTACTCCGCATAACCATGCTCAGAAGAGGGGAGTAGTAAATTAGGGAAACCATAATATCCGGTCTGGAGGGCGAGAGATGCGATACCCGTTTCTCCTCCCTTTCTCTTAGATTGAAGCACGATCGGAAACCCAAAAATGACCATCCTTTCGGCCTTCATTCTCCAACGTGGTGTTATGACCAGTCAACCATGTGACTGGCTAGTATGGTCGCCGCTCCATATATGATGAGGCTCGCTAGATGCATGCCTGACATCCAAACGACGCATTTTTCATAGAAGAATGTAACGATATGGTACAAACCTACAAGCCTCAAACGACAGGGAACTGGCCACAAGTTTAGAGCCCTAGATGGTAGCATCAGTATCCGCGTCTGGTGACACGTCTGGCCACCTTCTTCTTCACTGGCTCCGGCTTCGCAGTGAAGTAACTCTTGTTGCCATCCTCAGATGTGTCAATCCACGCCGGGTCAGCTTTGCTCCAATCAGACGAAAATGGATTCTGCGGATCATTGAGCTTGGAGCCCTGCTTGCAAGCAAGCAGCGAAACCAGCGCCATAGTCACCAAAGGGTCGCCGCACTCCTTCTCATCATTACTGCTCGGCTCTCTGCGTTCCCCCCCAATAACCCCCACTTTGCTCTCCGAACTTCTAGCAGCGGAGATGGGCAGTAGCTCATTAGCCTTTTTCCCGAGTAGCCTCACACCCGAGTAGAATATCCGGTTCGTCTTCTCAGCTCTCCGTGCTTGTTCTTCCGGTGATGGGTTCAAGGACGCAGCTCTGGCTTGAAGAGGGTAACGCTCATACCAATGCTCGTCGATGATGGAGGTCTGCCCATTGTAACTGCTGGGCAAGCCACCCCTGAAATATTGCATGGCCTTGTCGAGGGGTAGAGTGTCGAGGATCGGGATCTTATTTGGCGAAACCTTGCTGGGTAGGTAATTATTGTTGCCGAAACAATGCTGGAATGTCTCTTCGGCCTCTTCAATGAAAGCTGCCTGAGCCGCCTTGATACGGTCATCAACTGGAATTGTTCCTGAGATTGAACGCAGTCGATCGCCTGGTCCATGAAGCTCATCTTTCTTGCTCGAGAGTGACTGAACTGCAGGATTACCACGTGCACCAGAGTCATTCTCCATGGAAAGAAAGCCTGGCGGGGTGCGGAGAGCCACTTTCTCATCATCATATGCGCGCAGAATCCTGTAAGTAGATTCCGCTGTCGATGGCTTGAACGGACGCTGGCCCGGTGGGCCTGCCGTAAGAGGCTGTGGAGTTCCAATACCGGCAGATGTGGTGCCGTACGGAATCATGGGCTGATTCCTTCCAGTGACGGAGGACTTGCTGAGAAGCGAAGAGGGTGTATCAGGTCTGTTGATGCCATAATGAGCTGTACGTGCTTTGGCCAGCGCAAGAGTGTTCTGGGCTTTCTTTTGCATAGGGTTTGGGTACGATGCGAGACTCGTGAGACTTTTGACAGAGAAGGTTGATGCGAGGAGTATATCATCTCCGGTGGAGCTATCATCGTCTCCGGTCGTGGAAGCGTTCTCCTTCAGGTCCGAAAAGGTGCCCAAAGTTGCAGTTGAGGGCGCTGGAAGATTTCCAGCTCTGATAGCAGGAAGCGCCATGGCGGTAGCTTGTGCTCTGTCCGCATCGGCAAAGGGGCTGACAGCTCGATCGAGGTTTTGCTGCAGAGGCGAATAATGCGGCAAGGTGGTTTTCGTGGGAGGGGGTGATATCTCCGCTTCTGCTACGGGCAAAGCCGACAGGAGTGAATTGGGGAACGGACCGTAGCCTGGGGGACCCGGAGGTGACTGGAGTCCGTTGAAACGACGAGTGCGAGGCCGTCGAGTGGGAGGGTGTATCGGTGCCGTAGCATTGGGGTTGTGAAGGGTGCCGACGGTATTGAAAGTAGCCGGCTTGGATGGCTTCGTCGTGTCTGTAGGCGAGAACACGGACGGGTTAGAGAGAGGTGACGAGAAAGGATCCATTTGTGCGACTGGGCAGGTTGCGCTTTGCTAGCGATGGCGTTTTGGACAGAGCATGGAGGGTATGGAGGAAGGATGAAGATGAAGATGACTTGCAAGTTGGCAAGGGCGAGATTTTGAGTCGCAAAGGGAAAGGAAAGGATGTTTTTGGAGGTCAGGGCTGCCAGCCACCACTGGCATAACTGGCAAGGAAGGAGCGACGGGGTAAGGGCACGGGAAGGGGAGATAATGAGGCCGGGAAAACGTACCTTCCGTCTCGGTCGTTGTGGGCTTCTGGTCAGGAGGGGTTGCAGCTGCCAGTGCACCCAGCCACTCTTGCAACTTGACTTCGCTCGCCATCAGACGGGCATGACGAGCATGTCGCGGTCCTAGCATATCGGGGCTTCCAGGGTTGTAGACTGGTATAGCCATCGTGTGCGAGTTCTCTTCATGTTGGCTCGCCGCGTTAACCTCAATCACAGGAACGTGTCGACTCCATCGAGAGGGTGCTTGCGACGCCGTCGCAGTTGGCTCGACAGGCTCGGGAGTCATCTTCAACTGCATCCGAGGAAGAAGTTGCTGCTCTCTATCTGCTGACCTAGTGCGTGACTGTGGTCCGGATTCTTGCGTCTGAGGGCAATCGCGACCTGGTTCGCGTTTCCTGCCGAGCGGAAATACGAAGGTGGTCCGCCAGGTGTTGTTGAGTAGGAGCAGAGCCGGTTGAGATTTCCAGTGCGGGCTTCTTTTTATATGCGGCTCGTCTGATAATGCGCTCTGCGCCGGCAAGTGAAGGGAGGGTTGTTCTTTCCCGTTGAAAGGCGGTGTCTGCGTTCGTCCAGATTCGCGATTTAGCTGCCGTCCCATCTTTTGGAAACGACGACCGAAGCTGTGATCCGTGCCTTCATAAGTGGCCTGCAAGGCATCATGGATTTCCGTCTTATGTTCCCCACCACTCCCGCAGCAGGAGCAGTGTCGAGATAAGTACGCTGTCCCTCTGATTCCAACATGCACGACTGCCAAGTTAATATGGAAGAGACTTGCAATGAACCTACCTCCAGACCTCTCGCCGTTAACTATTGCGCTAGCTTCTCCCTTTTAGCTGGGCACTCCAAAGCCAGCAAACGGTCGTGAAAGACTGTCGACGTTGAGATTTGTTAAGCAGAGCAAGACAAAGAAGAAAAAAAGAAGAAAAAAAGAACAACAAACTTCCAGGTACAAGCAGGCCTGTTGTCGTTGGTTCACGTTGTGTCTTCCAGCGTTGACTCTGGATAACGGAAAAATTTCGCATCTTCCCGACGACATATTGACAAGCAGAAGCAGGTCGGCAAGAAGAAAAAAGTATTTTTTTGGGGGGGGG